ATATTAGTATTAGTATTAGGATTTAATAGTGAATAGTAAAAGAGTAATAGTAGTTTATTGGGGAAATATTGGTATGTGATAGTGACATGGTACCCATTTTACAATCCCATTCTACTGTCATTTTGTCGCAATACTTTTATGAAAGAGAGAATTACAGTAAAGCCAGGTGACCTTTTTCAGAAATGTTTTATGATACCTCTATTATCCGACCTTTCTTTATAATGTATAATGATCTTAAAACTCATGAAAATAGTATAAAGAATAATATGGTCAAGCAATTTTTTGATCATTTTTCATTTCTTTTTTTTTTTTGTTACTTTTTATTATTTTCATTATTTCATTATTTTTTCATCATTTCAATCATTATTTTTTAAATTAATAACTTCGAGTTTAAACATTTGATTTATTGCATAAATTTTGTGAAAATGAGAAATTGTTTCGTTAAAAAATTATTCTGTAAAAGTTATAATTTTGAAACAATATATCACTAAAAAAGTGTGAAATGTCAAGGAAGGAACTCAATTTTCTTATCAAAAGTAAATAACAAATGACGAATAAAACAATTAGATAAATTTTTGGTAAAGCAATATTTGATGATAATATGATGGATCGTTGAATTTTATTTCTTTATGCAATAAATTGCTTAAATATACTTGAAAATGTGTGGCGCTTTTTATCATTTATCTATAGCAATGGGCGGAATTGTCAAAACTATAGCGCAAAGAAATCTTTCTGATTAATTATAGTTGTTATTATATATACATGAATGTATGCAACTTTTATATTTTATAATTGCTAATTATTTGCTAACTTTAATTATTGCTCTATCATTGTTAGTCTGATTTAATCAGAAATAATTTAACTATTTTTCGAATCATACAATTATTTAAGAGAATTGGAATAGTATCATATTTCAAGAAGTAATGAGTAGTATTTTGAGTACACCGATAACATCATTCAAATTGTTAGCATTTCATCCACTTCAGACCGGTTAGTTTACTTTACATCATTGTCACTCATCATCAATCCTTTTCTTAAATTCAGTTCATCCGGAAATTATTGATTCAGTTCATCCTAATCCTGTTTTACATTTTGTTTTGAATATTATTTTGCATTAAAATTTTTTCTTAATTTTTTTTTTCTTAAATCGTGCAATTTTTTATAGTGTTTGCTTTGATTCTTGAAATTGAAATACTCGACTATCTTTTCTAGTTTTGTAAATGTTTTCATCTTCAATTACTTAAATATTTCATCATTTTTTTTTCAATTTATTATTTTAAAATTTACACTGATTTAACTTTTTTCTCTAATTTTGAACTCAGAAAATAATTTTTTAATAGCAATTAACTTTCTAATCACTATTTTGTACTCTTGATTCCATTGTAAAAATTATTCGATTCAATTTTTTAGCATCTCTCTTCACAATTTCATTTCAGTTGCTTATCAAAGTGACATCGCATAATTTATTAATTTATACTTTTTATTTTCACAGTAGCATATAATTAGTTGTTTTATCTCAAACACATTAATTCCTTAATTCTGAAAATTTCTTTCATTTGATAATATTTTTATTAAATATATGACATCATGCAAACGATTAATTTTTGTGATCGGAAAGAAAAGAAAAAAAAATGCGACTCATAACATCAAAAGATACAAAATTTATGAAAAATTTATATTACGAGCTATGAGGGGTGAATAAATCCATTACACATCGCATAGAAATTATATAAAATGTATTTTTATTTATTTTTTTTTTTTAGTATAATTATTTTCTAATTCAGTTCTCATTTCTCGTATTAACAAAATATTTATGACAATAAATTGAGTTGAACATCAACAATGATGTCATTAATTCAGAAAAAAAAAAAGTAGGAAAATTATTTTTTTTTTTTGAAGGACATCAAATTTGAATTACTAATAGAAAAACACACAATGAAATTGACCGTTCGACCGATGATTTAATTTTTAAAGAATTGCAACCATTTGAGATTGCTGTTTGATAGTGTGAAAGAATATTTAGATTTAGGTCATTTAGTCAAATGAATGGATTACGATGTATGTTAAGTAAAGTGAAGACTGAACTTCCGTTATTTCTTGATCAAATGTGATCGATCGTTAGGTTTAGATTTAAACAAATTTCAATTAATTGGTTATTTTTTAATTTCTCAGAAAATCTTTTTTTTGCAATTTTCCATAATATAACCGCATAGCGATGCGAAATATTATTTCTGTAACATTTTTAAAATGTAAATTTTAGGCGATACTTAATAAAAACTGAATTAACAGATGATTTTGCTTGAATTTCGAGAATTTTAACTTCCAAAAAGCAAATATGTAGGCAAGGATATCCTAAGCGAAAAAAAAAATAAAAGTAGTGATCCAAAATTAAATTTATTTATTTGAATATATTGGAACATTGAATGATCACTAAATTTAGTTTTTTAGCTTTGATTGAAATAATTAATAAATTTTACTTCTATTTGCTGTATTACTGATTATTACTCTCTCATTGACATACATTAAATCAAATTCATTTTGTTCTTTCTACGATAAAGAGCAATCAGCAATCATTTAAGGCTAAGTTATCTGATCAAAATTTTCAGATAACTCAAATATTTATTGATTGTTTTAGCTTTTCCTATAATTACGACTGTTTACAACAAACAAACAAACTATCAGTAATATTCGGCTAAACTTAAAAACAAACACTGACATGCATGGAACGGTTGATTTATCGAACTAATCAAAAAAAAGCCTATCATTATCATCAGTATCATCATTATCATTATCATCGCCATCATCATCATCACTGTCACAGTCATCATCGAAACCATCGTTATCAGCATTATCATCATCAGTGTTGCTATCAATCATCGAAATTTATTACATTTCCTCAGGCTATGGTTTCATCAATGAAATGGCCACTAAATGTTTGTATTGAAAATTATTATTTGTACATATTAACAAATTATCTAAGTGGTTTGACTAAGGCTAAAATTCATTTTGGTTATTAAAAAAAAAAAAAAAGTCAAAATGCTATCATTTGATTGCATTTTTATGGTGGTATTGATAAAGTAAATTAACTGAAAATTGTTTCTGTTTTGACTTATTTTATTTTGAGATATTTTCGATAAATTATGCATCGATTCAAAGTCATTTTTAACCTTTCAAGTTATATCATATTATCTTTCACTTTATAATATAAATGATAATAATGTAAACTTTACCAGTAGAAATTTTTACAATTTGTAATGAACTAAAAATTCAATTGCTGAAAATATTCGAGAATGACACTTCTCTATTGATAAAATTTTGAAGGCTTAAAAAAAAAGGATGAGTCAAATTTTTAATATTTCTCGTATTTGAAGCACTACTACTAGTAATAAAAGTGACAATACTACAAGAATGCTGATAGCTGATAAACTTTCTAATCTATTATCAATATTATCATAATTAATTTTTACTTCCTGTCAATAACGAATGATTATGAAATGAATACCAATACAATAGCAATTAAATCTAGATTAGAAGGTAAAAATTAAGATTATTTCATTGAAACAAAGGATGCAAAGAATGAATGGGATAGAATATGTATGCTAAGAAACCAGAAATCAGTATGATAAATGAGAAACACTCAAACAAATTTCATTCTTGATTTTCCAAACAAGTTTCGAACCACTTTTTTCTCTATTTCTCTTGCAATATATGACAATAATTTGTCATACTTTTCATTGTTTCATATCATCTATGTAAATTCTGTGTTAATGTGTACAAATGTACATGAACATGAACGGCGGTAAATCACTTTATGGCGCTAATATACACATACTTATATATATGTATAATGTTTGTTTCATTTGATCTTATAAATGTATAAGTTCATATTTTTCCATATCTTCTACAAATTTCATTCTATAATAATAATTTTGTGAAATTATTGAAAATGAATTATTCTAATTTAATTATGTTTGAAATGTTTATCATATTATCGATAGTGCAAAAGTTGTATTACAGTGATAAACTATCTTACCGAATTTAATTTTATTTATTATTTAATGTATAATGGGTATTTATCTATAAAAAAAACTCAAAATATTAGATGTTCCAGTTCATTTTAGTTTTTGCTCGATGACTTAATGCAAATATTACATTGAATAATCTATGGATTCAATTTAATTTAATTTACAAATAAAATTTTTCAACAAAAATTGTAAAATTTAATCGAACGAATATTTTTATTCTTTATTTATTAATATTTATTGATAATTTTCACCATAATTTCAACATCATTAATGAAAAAAGATATTGGAATTGCTCAAAAATCTTAGAATTTTGCATATCTATCTTTGATCTTTGATTTTTCCACACAGATTTCAAATTTTTGCGACTATTACAATCTTTTCTCTTTCGTTAGAATTCAGAAGAAAAGTGTATACTGTCTATTTCTATTCGATTTTCTTTTTTTTTTTTTTTTTAAATTCTTCTTTACTGATATTATGTGCCATCTACTAAAATAAATTTGTAAAATAGAAAAAATTTTTCCAAATTATCTTAATTCTATTTCAATGCTAATTAGCATTTCAAATTATCTTAATTCTATAGCAATGCTAAACAACAACAACAACAACAACAACAACAATAACAAGCAACAGAAACAAGTTCTCAACCCAATATTTAATGTGAATATGTCAATTTAATCCCATTAAAAGAAGACATACTGATTATTTTTATCATATCAACACTGAATTGTTGATAAATTAAAATTGCTCAACGTTTCTTGCAAATTATACAATATCACGGTCAACTGCAATTTATTCATTCATTAATCGTTTTTTTTTTTTGCAGGATACTATATCACTAATAATTGATTACATTCTGTCTACAAATTATCTCACAAAGAAATTTTCACGTCATTCACGTCATTTTGGCTTTTGTCATAAGTATCTATTCCGGTTAATGAGAAAGCTCTACACGATTTATTTAACCAAGCAACAATTATGCGTAAGTTTACATTCCTATTCTTTTCGTTTCTCTTTTTTCTTTCTTTTTGCTTATTAAACATTTTTATTATTCATTGAAGTGCTTATATTATTAGTATTAATCTATAAAGACAAATGTTATGTAATAATAAACAGTTAACACAATTAATCTTTTCTTTTTCCATTAAAATTTGACATTTTTAAAAATTTCTTCACCATATTAAATACATTCATCTTTCTATATTGAAATTTAATTAATAATTCAATGTCTCACAAATATTACATATAGCAGACAAAGTATGAATATAATTTTGTTTTTGCTATAATTAACTTTTCCTTAAGAATTAACATTTACTGGCTGGCCTTATATGTATGATATTTTTTTCTCTCTTTTTCTTAAAAAAATTTCTTTTCAATTTAACAGTTAAAAAGAAAAAGATGAGAGAGAGGGAGAGAGAGAGAAAGGAAAATATTCCCTTGAAAGGTCATGATAGGAAATTGAATTTTATCATTTGATTAGAGAGAATTGATAGATCAGTTGGTGTAGTACTAAATCTATTCATTCTTACTTATGTTATTGAATTTTAATCTTTTTTCTCCTTTTCTTTATTATTTTTATCTATTCTCTCTCCATTTTAATTCACCTTAAATTAAATATTACCACTAAGTAGCAACTACATTAATTATGAATTTTTAAAATGAAATCACTTTTTTTTTCTTAAAACAAATTCCATCTCTTCTTTTGTTCACTTTGTCATATTCCGCATATCTTATTTCTTTCTTTTGTTTGCAAAATTTTTTACTAACCACTAAAATGTTACATTAATTTCACTGGCACGTTTTTAAAAATAAATGAGAAAAGGAAATAAAAGAGGTACACTCCCCGGCCGGGAATCGAACCCGGGTCTCGCACGTGACAGGCGCGGATACTCACCACTATACTACCGAGGACACGTGAAGTCTGCTCGTCTCGTAATTAATTAAATTCAAAAATTTTAGCTTTATAGAGAAATTTGAAATTTATTAAAATTTCCAACACAAAAACTTGTCTGTTTTACTAAATCAGTGACGAAAAAATTTATTGAATTAATGAAAACCAAAGTGAGAATTACATGTTATCAATAAATGCTAATCAGAAACTTCAATTTCACTGATAAAATTTTCAACAGCATTTGAGAAAGATAAGGGTAATATCATTGCTGATAAACAATGAACATTGATAAGGACATCTAATGGTTAGTTTGTAGTATCTACCAAACAGTTTATTTATTTATCTTTTTTTTGGCCCTTCTTTTGCTTAAAAAAAAAGAATTTCACACTTAAATTAGTTATGTAACATTTTGATGATGCTACGCCAGCATAAGTAAATTAATTTTTGTTGAAAGTATTTGAGACTGTAAGAATGATACATCAATCAATCAATCAATCAATTAATCAACCAATCAGTCAATGCTATTGTGAATAAAATTAGCTGATCAAGTTTTAATTAGTTTGAAGAAAAATTTTTTATGAATAATTCGGAAACGTATTTGAAGTATTTACACTGAAAAGATAACCAATTGAAAATTAGTTTAACGCTAACCTAAGCTTTTAGCTTTACATTTCTCATCTGATTTTACTATTTTCTAGTTTTATCATTTTTTTTTTTCTTTCAACATTTTCTTGAAGTTATCGCCGTTTTGCTTGAAATCAAATTGTAAACAATGAAAAGAGAACGGAAGAAGAGAAGCAGTGAAAGTGAAAATTCCTGATGAATTTATCAACCAAATCAAGAATCTCAGTCTTTTCGGAAAATTCTAATAGAAGTAATTAACTACTTGTGAATTAAATTTGCATCCAACAAGTGAAACAACAAATTGTAGTTCAGCAAGGATAAAAGTGTTAAATTAGAAATATTCTAAATTTAATTTACTTTTATTACTTTTCACTCTTACAATTTGTTTTTTTTTTTAGCTTGTTTTTGAAGAAATGTGTTAAGAAAGAAAAATATTTTCACTTAGCTTATTGATAAATGTAAAAGTAATAAAAGATAACATTTATCACTGCTTCTTTCTCCTAATAATCTAACTGATAACTGTTTGATAACATGCAACTTCATACTTTGAAATAATTTAAAAAAAGAAAAAATTTAATGGCAATAGTACAGCTACTTTGTGCTGAATTAATTCAATTTCTTACAGCATTTAATTGAAATAAAGGAAAAAAAAAATTGATTGAACTGATGAAAAGTATAACTTCGAAAAACTCTTAGCATTTGTTGTCGGAGTTTGTTTGAAATGTTTTTGAAATGTAAAGTCTGAATTTCAAATTCATGTCTTAATTTTTGCTGCAAAAGGGATTTCTCAATTTCGATAAACTTTTACAAATTTTCCTTCTCCATTTTTCGAATATTTCATAAAACTTGTCAATTTCTTTTTTCTTTTTAATTTTTATTTTCTATTTTTCATTTCTTTAAGTGTCTTTTCTTTATTTTTCTTCTATGAAGGTTCATATTTTATGAAATAAAACGGAAATTAATTACAATAGACAAATTAAGCACATATATATATATATATATATATATATATATATATTACAATAATGAAAATAAAACTAAAATAGAAATTAATTACCTTAAATCTTACAATCTTAATCTTTGTTCATTTTATTTATTAATCTGCCATCTAACTTAAATTTTACTGCCTTTAACTCTTTTTTTGGATTATTTCACTTTTTTTTAACCCTATTTTACAGTAGAATGTTGAGATAAGAAATAAATCTAATTGTATTTTTTAAAGACAGCAAAATATTTGTAAAATTTTAAAATCTAAATTATTCGCAAAATTATCAAATTTGTTAATAAAATTGTTGCTAAAAAAAAAAAAAAAATGATTATTCAAAATTTTCTTCTACGCATTAAAATTATTCTTTTTGATAAGAGAAAAATGTAGAAATTATTGCGTTAATTGCGCTAATTTCGCATAAATTTTAACTTTTAATTGCATTATTATTTATTGTTACATCGTACTATTAATGATGAGCGATGACAAAATTAGTTCAATAATAATAATAATAATAATTTGAGCAGTAGTAGCACAATTTGTAAACAATAAGCAAGCAGTAAGCATCGTCTCTGTTATGCAAAACAGATTTTGAGAAATAAACTACAATTATAGCATTTGATCGGTTAACATATGAAGAAGAGTTTAATGTTTAAACAATGATATGAGCCTATCGATGATCGAGAAGTATCTTTAGGGAATGCAATGATATTAGCTTTCGATCATTAGTATCTTTGATGAATTGCGAACGGTAAGAACAATGCATCTTTTATTTATCATTGTTCTCTTTCATTCTTCTTTTCTTTTTTTTTCCTTTAAATTAATCAAGGTCATTCAAAATTTAAAGCCTTGTGTAAATGTCATATTGTTGTATTTTATTTAGGCATGAAATAATGGTGGCATATGTGAAAGTTAGACATTTTATTAGTAAATTAATGATAGATAAAATTATTATTTATTATTATTTTAAGAAAATAAAATTTTAATTGCTAATTGTTGATGTCTAAGCGTAGAATGAAAGCTTAAAATATGAGATTGACTAAGAAAGTTAGCTAAATAGGACACATAGTTAATTAATCTAAGGTTATATAACTAATTAATTTAAAGAATACATCACAAAAGTATTAAGAAAGTATAAAAAACTAAAATCGACGTTTATTAAGATTACTTAATATATTTCGAATATTGAAATGTGATATAGCACGATGGTATTTGAATAATATAGTAAATTTGAAATAAAAAATTAATTTCCTAACCAAAAATTGATGTTACATTCCAAAATTTATATTTGAATACTTAATTTCCTCATTTTTTTCCTTATCAATCCCATACTTTTTGTCATTTGAGGTAAGAAAATGAATTGAAATTAATGCGATATTCTTTTTGTTCTTTTATTTCAAAGAAAAAAAAGCTTAAATCTAAAAATAATTTTAAAAAAAAATCATTTTAGTTTATTTAGAAAATTTTCATATTTTTCCTTTTCATTTCTATTTCCTTTTTTTTTTTGAGAAAAAAAGGAAGGAAACTAACACATTTCAAGCGGTATATTTTATGTTTAAAGAAACAATCCACCATCAATGACCTTGTCTACATCGTTTGATATAAAATAGTATTAGCATTTTTATTTCGACCTTCATAATAATAATAATTAATAGTAATAATAATAATAATAATGATAATAATGATAATAATGATGGTGTTGATGTTGTTGGCGTTAATTGTTCATGTGTATTGGACCAGGTCAGGTCAAGCGGTCATTTCCTCTATGGGTGGGTGATATTTTTGTTGGAATATTTTAGAGTAATAATGATTATATGGGAAAATTCCGTTATATCTTCATACTTCCTATTTCTTTTGGTGTAAAACTTTTTTCATTCATTTTTTTTTTTCATTTAATTATTTGTGGTTATTTTTTAAAAAAAAAAATTAAATGTAATCAAAGTGGGTATGTTTGTTATTCTTTTTTCGAAAAAGTAATATAAATGAGCTTAAATACTATTTCATAATTCCATTTCACAGCTTTAAAAATCATTCTTAAATTTTAATCCTATTTATCATTTCTTAATCCTTTCTGTCTTCATCATCTTTAAAAACTGAAAAACATATCGTGAAAATCTCATTGTTATTTTCATATTAAATATTTGCTATCTATATTTTAATCTTTCATTATAACTATTTTTTTCAAAAGAGAAAAAAAATTTGCTTTTTTAATTTTAAAATTTTAATAAGCGCAAGATTTTAATTAGAAAAAAAAATTAAATTCTGCTTTTCTTGAATTTTTTACAAGTTTTAAAGAAAATTTATTCAGCAAAAAAAAAGAAAGAAAAAAATTTCTCGAAGATTTGATCAAAATTTTATATAAAAGAATTTGTTTTTTTTTTTTCTTTTCTTTTCAACTTCCTTACCTATTCGTACTGTAAAAAAATTTTAATAAAAATAAAGAAAAATGAAAAATGAAGAAATTGAATGATCTGTTCATTCT